TGTTCATTTGCAAAGTTCAAACGATGATTTTTGTGGTGAGGACGTAGTAGAGGGTTTTCTTCTGATGACTCTTCCATGAAGACCATATTTGTACAAGTATCTCTTTATAGTGGAATAGTGTACCACAACTCAAGTGTCTGCCAGATCTTTCTGGAGGGATCGTGCAGTCAAACGTGGGTTTTGATTTGTTTTTCTCACAATCCTGCGAGCTGTTCTGTCTGATATTTTTCTTGGTCTTCCAGATCTTGCTTTAACTTCCACTGTTCCTGATGACTGCCATTTCTTAATTACATTCCGAACAGAGGATATTGACATCTCAAAACGCTTTGCTATCTTCTTATAGCCTTCTCCAGCTTTGTGAGCGTCAACTATTTTCAGTTTCAGTTTTCTAGACAACTGCTTAGAAGAACCCATGGTGCTGATTGTTGGGGCAAGGTCAGATGAGTCTGGGCATTTAAAACCTTTGAGATTGACATCACCTGGTCTTCCCAGACGATGATTGAGAACAATCCATGATACTGGCAGGTCTCAGCTTTGCAAAGGGGGCAGTGCATGCTATAAATTCTGCAGGGTGCCCAAACTTTTGCAGATGCCATTTTTTTGTTTTCTGTTATTTTGAAAGTGTAAATGATGGAAATAAAATCTAACTTTTGTTGACATATTATAAGAATGTCTAATCTGTAATTTGATGCCTTTTGGAGATTTTTCCATCTTTCCTTGGCTTCTTTATGCACATTAATACAAATGTTTAGCTGGGGTGTCCAAACTTTCGATCCCCACTGTGTGTATATATATGTGTGTGTATATATATATGTGTGTGTGTGTGTGTGTGTGTGTGTGTGTGTGTGTGTATATATATGTGTGTATATGTATATATATATATATATATGTATATGTGTGTGTGTGTGTGTGTGTGTGTGTGTGTATATATATATGTATATATGTTATATAATGTGTGTGTGTGTGTATGTATGTATATGTATGTATAATGTGTGTGTATGTATGTATGTATGTATGTGTGTATGTATATATATATATGTATGTGTGTGTGTGTGTGTGTGTGTGTGTGTGTGTGTGTGTGTGTGTGTATGTGTGTGTATATATATATATGTGTGTGTGTATATATATTTTATAATGTTACATTCATAACACCTTTATGCATTCCAGGACTTCTAGTCCTCCCGCCTCATGGGCTATGTTAAGGTCTCTTTTCACACGCTATTTGATAAGAGCGTTTCGATGCTGCAGTGATAAATAGTTTGTAGAACATTGTGATGCAATCCCGCTGTAGAATCTCCCTGAAACACCTGTTAATGTGGAACTTCAATCCTTATGCTGCGAAGATTAGTAAATAGACTGGAAAGTATATCATAACTTTACTTGTTTTTAACACTTTTTTTTTTTTTTTTTTTTTAACATTTCTTCAGTTACTTTATGGTTTCCAGGCCTAGGGAAATGAAGTCATGCATCCCAGGAGTCTTCAAGAGGGGAGGAAGAGTTTTTTCTTGAATCATGAATCATCTGCCCTTACTCAAGATGGCCTCAGCCAGAAATGCTAGGGCAGGGCTTAAAATTTTGAGTCCAGACCTACTAGCCAGGCACAAACCTTACTCTCCACCAGTTGCCCCACCCAACCTTGCCCAGGTCCACCTCCAACCCTGCCCCGGCCCATCCCCCAACCCCACCCCCATCCTGCCCCCAAACACTCCCCCTTAAAGCTTATGAAATTACATTTTTCTTTAGAATAAAGAGTCCAAAATATAAAAAACTGCAATTATGACATAGCTTTATTATGTGAATTTAAACATAGCTTAATAGCAATAGGGTGCAATCAAAATATCAAGTTTTACAGCTTTAAACCTGAAGTGAACATTTTGTATTTTTTCTGTTTATCTCCTGCATCTTTAAAAAGAGACTTTAGTAACTAAAGTCTCTTTTTAAAAGATGTAAGTTTAGTTTACAGAAGTATAGCATAAGCAAAAGTGCTTATTTTGATGCCAAATAACATGGAATAATAGTTACTGTAAACATGTTGTATTTTTTTTATCTCCAGCAGAGACCTTAGAGAAGTGTGGCATAAAGAAAAAAGTGCCTCTTTTGATGGCCAAAAAACATTCCATAAAATAAATAACAATAGTAAACATTTTTGCATTTTTTTTTTTATCTCCAGCATATTATTAAAAGAGAGCTTAGAGAAGTAGTGCATTAAGAAAAAAACAAAAGTGCTTATTTAGATGCCAAAAAACATGGTATAACAGTAGTAAACATTTTACCAAAGATGTGCTAATAGAGCAGCCATGGTTTGTGTTGTACAGCAGGACCAAGACTTGTGTAATACCCTTTTTCTGATGCAAAATACCACTTCAATGGCTGTGTGTCCCCCCAAGGCGGTAGAGAGCGGGCCTTTCCTCGTGTCCCCCACGGTGGGAGAGAGCGGACCTCTCCTCGAGTCCCTCGCGGTGGTGGAGAGGGTGTCTCCTCTCAGCGGAGAAGAGCGGACCTCTCCTGAACCTGTCCTCTCAGCGGTGCTGCCAGTGTAATGGTGGTGCCGAAGAAACCGGAAGTTGGAAACCGGAACTCTGCTTCACAATGAGGCTTGGAGCGCAGGTGCAGCCGCTCCATCCATCATCTGTGCTCGCCACACAGTTATTTCTCCTCGCATTTGGTGAGCGGGCAAGCAGCTTTTTCAAGCCCTGTGCTAGGGGGTGTTTTTCAAAGTGATTTCTCAGCAAAATAAAGCTTAGAGACATAGATGGTTGGGTGAGTTTGCTTTGAATATTCAAAGATAAACAGCATTTTTGTTGTGCTCAAATACAGTGTAGATCCACTTTAACAAACTAACCACTTTACACAGCATAATTTTATCAGCATTGCTCCATTTTATAGTTCAGCTCTTGCCAATACCTTATCTAAGTGGGGAGGGAAAGAAATTGGCAGTTTTTTTTTTTTTTAATTACAATCTGTATCCCTACTGGGGATTGTAGTGGAAAATGTTATAGAGTGAGAGGTGACCACTTCTAGTGGAAACACAGGTTCTGGTAACTACAGCCAAATGTAACCCTACACACACTCTAAACGTAATAAAAAAAAATGTCATGAACTCTAATTTCTGGTTGTCTGCTTGTCAGTGCCTAATAAATGAAGCTAGTTTTTTCCCTGCTGTCTTTTGAAACTGTAATATATTCTTATGATGGTTTTCTTTTTTAGCACAGTTTTCATAAGGTAACAACTGTTTTAACATTTAAATGAAATCTTTGTTCAGAGTATGAAAGAAAGCATTGATTTATTTCAGTACCAGTCATCAGAGATAATTAATGTTTGAACATAGTCTCCACTTCTTTTAACTGTATTAAACCATGAATACAGATTTTTCCTTCATTTAGTGTTTTCATGACAAGTTCAGTACATCAATGTAATCAGAAAAGTTCATAGTGTAGAACATGCAAGTCAGGAAACATGAGAATAGGTCAGCTTAACTAATCGTCAAGCATTTTATTTGATTGCAAAATATAGTGTGCAAAAAATTTTGGCACATATTTGAGTATGCTGATGGAGGATATGTACAGTCACAGCTTGTATTACAATGCTGGCAAGTATATTTCTATAGTGCAAAAAATTTACGCCACATTTTTAATTCTGTATTCTAAGATCTGGTTGTGTTTGCAGGGTTGAGGTGTGTGCTGCGTTTTACTTTGTACTGCTGTATAGAGTCTTCTATTTAAATTAACCTGCCAACCTTTTTAAGCATTTCAAACTAAAGTCCTGCCTAAATCTGGCCACATTCACTGATTTTATTTTGTTCGACCTGTGGACTGAACAGAAGAAGAGATTCCTCTATCCACTGCAGATGTTTAAATCTCCACTGATTGCTATTGTGTTTTGATGGCCGATGCCCACAGCTGTCAAACTACCCCGAACAGGGCCTACATGTGATTGGCTGCAGTTACTATTTGGCCCATAAATTTCTGCCCAGCTTCTTGATCTTCAGGTCAAAGTTTGGTCAAGCTGGATGGTGTTGGCAGGGCTACTCATAGTTCGTATATTGGACAATTCATCAGGAAGTGGCTCAAATTATGATCTGTCCATGACTAGTGAGAAAACCCCTTTTGTGGCCTTGACGCGCTTGACCTTGGTGTTGGGGCTTGCCCAGTAAAGATAAATACCATCCCCAGCCTAATGAAAATAGACACTGAGATTGTCTTATTGGATACGGGTGGCAGGTAGGTGAAACTCAGCCCAAAAGTCAGGGAAGTCCAGGTCCTTTTGTAGCAATGATCCAGGAAGGAGGCACCATAGTCTTTTCTACCCAATGAAACTTTTTAAAATGGATGAAAGTTTATCTATAAACACTAATTACGCTTTACTATTTCTGCATTCTAAATGCCTAGAGCAGACTCTTGCTTTGCTATGCCTTCTCTGTTAACATAGACATCTAAAGCATATATTTTTAAATGCAAAAAAAAATTTCTGTACAGCAGTAGAAAAGCATCTTAATCTCCCAATGTGTTTGTTTTCAAGCGACATACTGCATCATACCATATGAAATGTTTGTCTGCAAAAACATGGAGAGTTTTTTTTTTTTTTTTTTACTACAAGAGACCGTACTGAAAATCTGTGTTTTTGGTTTTGAATTTTCAGTTGTTATGGAGATTTATTTACCATATGCAAAGTAAACCGGGGTTTTTGTAACAACCGACCAGAAGCATATTTTCTGTTAGCTACTGAAGAGAAAAAATAATTGTGTATATAAAATTTCGTATTTAGTCTGTTTTTTTTCTTGGCAGCTGAACCTTTTAGGTGGAATATTTCAGTTTTTGATCCATGAGTGCCTCTGAGTTGAATTGTGCAGTGCCCTGTGTGAAGCTATGGCCTGGCTGCCTCATTTGTGTAGAAAGAAATGTAATACTTAAGTTGTACAACCAGTCATCTACATCCTATTAGAATTCATGTTTTTTCAGAAACTTATATCACTTTATTGACCTCAAATTTATCTTTCATAGGTATGAAAGACTTGAAGACCAGCTCAATGATCTGACTGACCTTCACCAGCATGAAACAACAAATTTAAAACAGGATCTGGCGAGCATTGAAGAAAAGGTTGCTTATCAGGCTTATGAAAGGTCCAGGGATATTCAGGTAAGTGTCAAGCAAATTTTACAATTTAATTTAATGTTATTTTTGATGCAAAAAATTGAATAAAATAAGAAGTGTGACAGATTACAGAGGGATCAGGGAACAGGTCTTACAACAATGTTGAAATGCATACAGGGAGGTTGTCCTAGAAACATATGGTTTACAAGTTAAGACAAAATGTATCAAAAGTTGGACAACACCATCTTGGACCTTCTACTGGCTAGCCAAAGAAGGTAATAGTCTTGTCTGTAAATTTGACGTTGCAACGTCTAAATTTCAGAGTGTCAAGTCTACTGGCAGGTTTGCCAGTTGGCAAAGGGGTTGTATTTTAACCACTACGGCTGGTATCTCAAATTGCATAAGAGAATTGCAGGAAGATAGGGAGAGTGGCAAAGAAGAGATGAGGAAGGATAAGGAGGGAAGCAGGGCGTGTCTAGACACTCCATCATGGCTCACTAAATGCTGTGGATCCTCCGTAATCCAAGGCTGGAATGCTGCGGAGAAACAAAACCCACAAGGTCCAAGTTTATTTAAACTGTTCCTCTCTACCTGTTCCCTGTGACAGCCGACATTTAAGGTCCTCGATGGAGTCCAGTTCATTAACCCATTCCACAAGGGTAGACGTGGTGGTCGTTTTCCGGTATTGGGGATTAGGCACTTTTTAGCAGCCAGGATGGTCAAAGAACATCTTGGGGGGGGGGGGGTTCACATTCCCACCATATGTGGAACATAGTGTCTTTGGTGGCATGGCACACCAGCAAGTTTTCGAGACTGTATGCTTGAACTGGTGCTAGTATATAATTTAAATTGCGAGTAGCAGGCTGCTATCTGATGTCATATCAGACGAATAGTGTCCAAGCAAATAAGACTCCTTCAAAGTGATAAAACAATGTATAAAAATACAAAAGTTTTAAAATCTTAATCCTTCATAACACTTCCTTCCAACTACAACTCACCAGATATTAGGGATGCTTTATTACAGAAGATCATAGAAGCTCATACTAATGCTCATGTAGTAATCTAAATCACTACAATCCTCTGCATCAGATCCACAGATACCAGCAGGGTGAATGTAGCACAGCTAGTTTAAGTAAGCACATAAGAGAAAGTGCAGTAAGCACAAAAGGGAAAATTAATAGTGTGATGCCCTTTATCAAAGAACAGGTGATATGCTTAAAAACTACACATTTCGAGTATTGTCCCATAAGTACACAGATTCTGCCGCTCTCTGACTAGTAGGTGCTGTACACACTTACATCTGTGGTGTTTTCTATGTCTGGCACTTCTGTAACATACAGAATCCGGGTTGTAGTGATGTGTCTCATTTAGACCACTTCCAACGTACTTATATCACTTAACTTTGTCAGGAAATTATTTGCACTGATGTGCAGGGGTGACAATAGGTTTGGATTTCCTAGAGCAGTCGCATCACTCACTGGCTTCCATTGCTCTAGGCATTGTTGGAGGGGGAGATGGTCTCCTCCCCCCAGCCACATATCACACAGGGACAGGGATTTATTGTCATGTGGCTGCATAGAAACAGAAACTGAAACTGTGGGGGTGAAAGTATTTAAAAGGTAAGAGTTATAGTATCTCACAGAAGTGAGTACACCCCTCACATTTTTGTAAATATTTTATTATCTTTTCCATGTGACAACACTGAAGAAATGACACTTTGCTACAATGTAAAGTAGTGAGTGTACAGCTTGTATAACACTTTAAATTTGCTGTCCCCTCAAAATAACTCAACACACAGCCATTAATGTCTAAACCGCTGGCAACAAAAGTGAGTACACCCCTAAGTGAAAATGTCCAAATTGGGCCCAAAGTGTCAATATTTTGTGTGGCCACCATTTTCCAGCACTGTCTTAATTAGCCATGGAGTTCACCAGAGCTTCACAGGTTGCCACTGGAGTCCTCGTCCACTCCTCTATGACGACATCACGGAGCTGGTGGATGTTAGAGACCTTGCGTTCCTCCACCTTCCGTTTTGAAGATGCCCCACAGATGCTCAATAGGGTTTAGGTCTAGAGATGTGCTTGGCCAGTCCAGCATCTTTTACCTTCAGATTCTTTAGCAAGGTATTGGTAGTTTCGGAGGTGTGTTTGGCATTGTTATGTTGGAATACTGTCCTGTGGCCCAGTCTCCGAAGGGAGGGAATCGTGCTCTGCTTCAGTATGTCACAATACATCTTGGCATTCATGGTTCCCTCAATGAACTGTAGCTCCCCAGTGCTGGCAGCACTCATGCAGTCCCAGACAATGACATTCCCACCATCATGCTTGACGGTAGGCAAACACTTGTCTTTGTACTCCTCACCTGGTTGCTGCCACACACGCCTGATACCATCTGAACAAAATAAGTTTATCTTGGTCTCATCAGACCAAAGGACATGGTTTCAGTAATCCATGTCCTTAGTCTGCTTGTCTTCAGCAAACTGTTTGCAGGCTTTCTTTTGCACCGGCTTTAGAAGAGGCTTCCTTCTGAGACAACAGCCATGCAGACCAATTTGATGCAGTGTGCGGCATATGGTCTGAGCCCTGACCGGCTGACCCCCCCACCCCTTCAGCTTCTGTAGCAATGCTGGCAGCACACATACGTCTGTTTCCCAAACACAACCTCTGGATATGATACTGAGCACGTACACTCAACAACTTTGGTCGACCATGGCGAGGCCTGTTCTGAGTGGAACCTGTCCTGTTAAACCGATGTATGGTCTTGGCCACAGTGCTGCAGCTCAGTCTAGACCATCTTTATGTGGAGCAACAATTCTTTTTTTTCAGATCCTCAGAGAGTTCTTTGCCATGAGGTGCCATGTTGAAATTCCAGTGAACAGTATGAGAGAGTGAGAGCAATAACACCAAATTGAACACACCTGCTCCCCATTCACACCTGAGATATTGTAATGCTAATGAGTCACATGACACCGAGGGAAAATGGCTAATTGGGCCCAATTTGGACATTTTTACTTAGGGGTGTACTCACTTTTGTTGCCAGCGGTTTAGACATTAATGGCTTTGTGTTGAGTTATTTTGAGCGGACAGCAAATTTACACTGTGCTAGAATGTAAAGTAGTGAGTGTACAGCTTGTATAAAAGTGTCATTTCTTCAGTGTTGTCACATGAAAAGATAGAATAAAATACTTGGAAAAATGTGAGGGGTGTATTCAATTCTGTGAGATACTGTATAGTGCTTAAAGTAGAATTATAGGCAAAACTTTTTTTTTAGAGTAAGGAAGGGTCATACCCCTGTCAGTTTATTTTTTATCATGTGTCCCATTGAGGAGATTTACATTAGTTTCCTGTCCCATAGCAAAACAGGAAGTGAGAAAATACAAATTAAGGGAATCCACTGGGGGCCCCCAGGCCACCAGAACTAGTGTCTCTAATGGAAAATGTCCCCACTATTGCTTTTCTGGGAGCAACCCAAAGTTTGGGATTTTCTTTTACTTTCACTTTCAATGATAATGGTAAGCAGGACAAATTATGGAGGGTGAATTTCCCTAACTGGGGCACAGAAAGCAATAAAAACTGACAGGTGTGCTAATCCTTCTCAACTCTGTCCAACACTTAAAAAAAGGTTTTGCCTTCAGTTAGACAGTAGAAGTGAATCAAGCAAGTTATTAATCTTATAGTATATCTGATGACTATAATAATGGCATGTACAAAAACTACTTTAAAAAGCCAAATAAAACAATGAGACCAGGGAGAGTAAAAACGTTTTCCATCTAATGAGATAAAATACAAACTTCATCACAAAAATAAGACGTGTTGCATAATCCAGAGCAGACATCAACTGTGAATGTGGGGCTAGGTTTCTGTTCACAGTGTGACTTGAATAGATTTCATAGTGATAACCTACTAATCAACCATTTATATTAACTGTATTTTTTATTTTGTCTTTTAATAGGAAGCTTTGGAATCCTGCCAGACCCGTGTCTCCAAACTGGAGCTCCACCAGCAAGAACAGTTAGCTGTGCAGTCTGAAACAGTGAATGCCAAAGTACTCTTAGGCAAATGTATAAACATACTTGTGGCCTTAATCACTGTTGTTCTGGTTTGTGTGTCAACTATCGCAAAGTTCACAGCACCAATGATGAGGAGCCGTTTCCATGTCTTTTGCACTTTTTTTGCAGTGACACTGTTTGCAATCTTTTGTAAAAATTGGGACCACATAGTATGTGCTCTAGAACGGGTTATGTTGTCAAGATGAGGAGCCCTGCCTGTGTGTACAAACTTCCTATAGGGACTAGAAAATGCCTTTTTAAGTGGATTTATTTCTAAATTTGTAAACTTTGTAGACTGTTTATTTGAACCACTTTCGGCATGCTTACATTCATATGTTGCCTTAAAAATTGCATAAATGATTCCTTTATTTAAGTGACAGCTATGAGGAGATGAACCATTAAAGGTGGATGTTCTATGTAGGAAGCATCAACAATCATGTTTGTCCTGTGAATCTCTATTGTGCATACCCTTGCTTGATGTACAGTTAATTTGGCCTACCGAAGCTTCTTTTGGTTTCTGAATTGTTTAAGTCTATCATGTTTGGCAAAAACACCCACAATGGATTGTTTGTTGTAAATACATGTGCTTGTGAATTGCTTTTCCATTTAGCTGTTAACAGAATGTATTCGTCCATAATTCTATACAATGAAATCAAAACTTGAATGTTGCCAACACTGTTTTATATAGGAGGTCATGTTGTGTGTTATTTAGTAAAACTGCATGAAAATAAATTGAGGCATCAAATAAGGAGCTTCGTTCCCATAAAATGACATGGTCCAAAACCAGACCCTCACTGTTGTTTTAGTGCATAATAATGAGAATATATGCCATATATATACTTAACAGACTTTCATTTGGCACAGATTTCTTGCTTTTTCAAGTAAGAATTGTTATACTATGTGGTTGTATACCAACACATGGCAAGAAGGTTTATCTGACACCATGCATAACACAAAGCTATACTCATCTGTTGTCTGTTTAATGTATCATTCCCCACCATTGTTGCAAATATGAAAAAAAAAAACACATCACATTTATAGGTTTCTTTTGATACAAACTGTCATTGAATACTTTGTAATGATGTGTGCATAAGGAATTGGCAGCAGGGTCTTTTGTATTATTTTTAGTAGGATAGACTGAAACCTAGAGTAATGTTGAAAAGTTGAATGCAAATTGTGAGCTGTGCTGGTTAAAGCCGGTCACACGCCAAGCTTGGTGCAACTCGGGAGAAAGGGTTTCTTTGTTTAAACATTCAGTAATATTTACTGATTAGTGAATAATCTATCTATTCCTATGCATAGGCCAGTTTGTTGTATCACAAACGACACAACATGGCCAAAAGTTGGACACCAAACTAGCACACATTTATGCACTTATTGAATATCCCATTGCAAAACCATCAGCTTTAAGCTCCCACCTCCCCAGCAATGACTAGAAAATGCCTCTATTTTTTTTTTTGTAATTGCTTTTCATAAGGTTTTGAAGTGAGTCTGTTAAAATCTGCCCAGTCACTCCAAAGTGCCAACATCCGTACCTAACCTCACAAACCGAGAAGACCTGGCTCTCAGTTGGTATTTAAAGTGTTACTAAACCCACGACCCTGCATTCACTATATCTGGTCTCCCACAGTACACAGAACATGGAAGTGCAATTATTTTAGTAAATATAAACTGCTAAATACCTTTTCTCATCGGCAGTTAGAGCAGTCTTATGACTTCTATCAGTGTCCAGCTGAGTACATAGTACAGCTTGGAAAAAATTTTGTATTCTGCTCCAGGAGGATGCAGAACACCTGACCTCTGGACAGTGCTGATCACATGCACACTCCCAAGGAAAAAAAAAAACAAAAAACTTTAGCAATACACGCCAAACTGACCATGTGCAGAGCAGAGTGTCTCCACACGATATGTCCTATCAGGAGATAAGAAAGGGGCACTGAAGGAAGGGGAGGATCAGAGAAGTCATGATCAAACAGCATTTTTACACAATGCAGAGGATTAACCCCTTGGTTCTACAGAAAGTAAAACAAGCATGCTTTATTGCATATACAGACTGATTTCACTGTTGTGGGTTTAGTAACACTTTAAAGTTCAGTCAAAATCTAAGGCTAAACCTACTCCCACCCCCATTAGAAGCCTATTCTGTCTAACCCTGTAAAGAAAAGATCTGTATAATCACCTATTCTGAAGCCAGTCCAGTCCCATGATCAGTTGTGGCTTCAATGTAGAGGAGGGACAGCTGACAACGGATTCCCCATAGTAAGCATATGGCTGATGTCATCTCACAGGCATTTGCAGCCATTGTCTGTGATCTCTCCTCTACACAGAAGCCGCTGTTGGAGAGATCATGTGTCTGGACTATAAAGAGTTCAAAATAGGTACATATACATATCTTTTCTTTACAGGGTTAAATAGAATAGGCGTGGAATGAGGGTTGGGAGTAGGTTTAGCCTTAGATTTTGACTGAACTTCCATTTTAACCTCAGTGGTGCCCAGTAGGGTCGAAGTTGGGGCTCTGTATGGCTATTAAGGTTCTCCATACCAAACTTGCACAGGGACACAGTCATACTGGAAAGGAAGTAGACCCTTACAAAAAACTGCTTCCACAAGATTGGAAGCATACAATTCTCTAGGATGTATTAGAGGTTATTGGATGTAGTATTAACAGTAGTATTTATTGGAAACACCTACACTCAGGTTTAATGGACTGTCCACGCTTTTGACCATATAGATAGGTGTGATGTTCCTATGTCCACAAACCTTTTTGTGCAAACAATGCTCCATTTATTTATTTTTCTTTTTAAATAAAAAAAATAAATCATGCTGTTCGATAACCTGATGCACTGTGTCAGACTTCTGGTATAACTATATATAGGTATAGAGTTCATGCCCTCTATAACTACATGATACTTCTGACCAAGTTTCAATCTACACACCCCTACCCACCTCCTTATAAAAGATACATTTAGAGCTGGAATTTTTCATACTTCATAAGGCTTCTGCTGTTTGATATGGGAACACAAAATGACACGTGTATATAGAAAGCTGAAAGTGTTAATGATTTCCTAATGGACCTTTGCCTGTGTTCCTTACTTTGATACCTATTGTTTATTTATGGGCATTAAAATGAGATCCGGATAGATCTATTTTTTCCTCATTAATATTTTAGATAGTTCTACTATAAAGTAGATGCAGCTCAGCTTCTGCAGAAAGAAAGGTTAGTGCTCAATAGTATGTAGGAATGCCTATCCACTGTCTCCTTAACCCCTTCCCGCTGTCGCCTCCAGGCCCTTTAAGAGGTTCAGACGCCGGGAGGCGGGGCGGGTGGGGTGTGGTTTAGGGATCATGTGACTGCTGTGACAGGTCGTCACATGATCGGGAAAGGTCCCGATCGAAAGAGCAGACCAGGACCTTTTCCGTGAGTACCAGACGTGTGCTGGGAGCATGCAGGGCGCACATGTTTTTTGTTACATGAACACAAATGTGTGGCCGCTCGGCGTCCATGCCCAGACGCCGGGAGGCCGCACATTTGTGTGCAGCCAGCGTAAAGGGGTTAAAGCAGTATTCAACCCAAAAGCAAATATTATATTGCACCTTACTAATTTTTAGAAATTCATTTTTCTTTTTTTAGGCTTGCTTTCTTCTATTATTGGCGAGTGATCTGGTCAGTAAGTCCTGTTGTTTTTCAAAAGAACCACTCTCCAGCAGAATATATCAGTTTCAGGGATGAGACAAATCATTTAGCAGTGGTGCTTACAATGATCAGCTTTTATGTAAATCTAATATCCCAAAAGGAAAAAAATTGTTGTAATTGCTTATAAAGTGTTAGCTGGAGTTTGGCTTCAGTTTTAGTGTTTTTAATCTGCTAGTATTTCTAACATTCCCCTTCCCCCAGACTGAAAGTGCTGCTGTACAAATACTCAGGGGTAAAAATGATAAAACTGCTGCTGCCACCACATGTAATGATTGGTAAGCTGAAATATATTACATTTTTGGTTTTGCATTTAATATTGCTTTATGTCAGTACTACTTTCTGAATTGCATCTGGAGTAAACTCCTGGTTATACTATTTTATACACCTGACATGCTGTTATAGCTTTTTTTCCTGCTGTAGATCAGATGAGGCTCAAGCACATCTGAAAATTCTGCATGCAAATGTCTTGAAAGAAGCAGGGTGTTCCTCAATATAACTTGTAGAGGCAACACCCCTCTGGAGAAGGCAGTACGCCTTTTTACTACTGTAATGTTAAGATATAATTACAGTATTGAAAAAATCTTTACATTTCTCAGTCAATAAAAGGTATCAGGGTATATTAGTGTCATTTAAAAAAAAAAAATAAGTAGGCAAACTAGCCATAGTTATTGCCAGGTGAACCACTGAGACTACAAATCTGGGCAAACATTTTTTTTTTAAATTGTTTTACCTTATCAATGTGACCATACTGCATGCTCTTCATGGTCTAACCACATACGTGAAAATGTCATTTTATGCAGAACAGAGCTCCTTGTGGGAGAATTGTATATGGTGTTTTTGTATTTTCTTCTTATTAGCAATGGTAAGAGTGATACTTTTACATCTAGAAACGTTTAGTCAGAGGAAGTGATCAAAAATCCAATCCAGGTGAAGCCATAGGTGTTTTTTATTCATAGTAAAATCAAATCTGATTGCATGGCACTATCGAAGTACTGCATAAATGAATCTAGATTGGCTGCTTAGAAAATCACAGTTGGTACCCTATTCTCTCCTGATAAGGTTGGGCTAAATCAACACCGCATGGCTGACATATGTCAGGTAGTGGCTGTCTTTCTCTCCTTGGATTTTAATAGAGTGGGTAAATGGTTAGAACTTCTGTTAATTTTTATTGCTGTTTGTTTTGCTGTTAGGAAAGATTCCATTTACTATAGTTATTGGGACCACTAGAGCATGGATGTGAGCTGAACTGCTTAGGGGACAACTCTTCTGGTATTCCTGTGGATAACCCCCTGAAATTTAGGCCTCATTTATACATGTGTTTGGGAAGCAGGGGGGACTCCTCACTGCCTGTCAGTCACCTCTGAAGCACAATCCAAACACAGATTGTACTTCACGGGCAAGGTGGATTTAGACACTTATGGAATTGCCACCAGCCCTAGCACATACAATACATCAGATGAGGCCAAAGACGGCAATAAAAATCTGGCAGAAAACCTACCTCTTTCAATACAA